GACAACATCTGATGAGTCAACGTTATGAGTTTTCGAAAGAAAGTTTGTGCGGAAGATTTATGGTCCTTTGCGCAATGGCTACGGCGAACAACGTATTCGATGGAACGATGAGCTTTATGAGATATACAACGATATTGACATAAGTATTCAACGCAGTACCCGCCAAGGTAAGAAGAGGAAAAGGAAGACCTCTACGCCGTTGGAGACATCAGTTGGAGAAGGACCTGGCTGCACTTAGTATCTCAAATCGGCACCAAATTGCCAAAAGAAAAAACATTTAGCGCGGTGCTGTTAACTCGGCTATAACCACATAAGCGGTGTCTACGCCAATAAGGGAAAAGAAGAATTACTTATTTTTGTAGAGTTAGGTGAAATCACTTGTCTACGCAAATATGCAAGAGAGGATTGAGACCTTGAACTGTTGGAAGAGAATATTCAGCACGTTACTGCTGACATACCGCACGAATTGCTGCAAAAGCTATAAAAATTTGGTCCTCTTGGTTGAACATTATTCGAGCCAGCCGAGACGATGACTAACCCGAAATCAGTTTTAAGACAAAATAGCTTTTTAATAAAGCTAAATTATTGGTTATGTCTAAAAAGCATCCTCTATATTGGGAGCCGAATCGAACCTCAATGTGAATAAATCTGTTCTTCAAAGCTTTTTGTTATTTCCAATACAATAATATTGGCTTGCTCCTCTATCGGTACCAAGTGATACATATATCCACTAAATATGAAGAAACCTGACTCGTTAGTTGAAACATTTCCAYTAAATATTACCTGTAACTAATTATATAACTTTTCTTATTTATTGATTATCAGACTTCCAAAATTTTTCTAAAGGATGTTAAGAATAATTTTACAGACTGTAACGTAGCACGTAAGCATACCATAATACCTAATCAAAATTCATACATAAACAATATTATGGAACATCCAATTTGTATATTATAAGCACATAAGAGCAAGTTCCTAAAACACATTCACCGTTTACCAGTATCCTGCTACAGATGCGTAATTTTCTTCTCTCTCTGAGAAACCTACATTAGTCGTATTATTGCAATTTATTTATAATTTAGTCATTCAGTGCTACAAGCATATATACAATCTTCACTATGTAGATATCACTGAAAGTTTTGAATTCACCTCATGTTGCACACAMATACACATATATTATATGTATATTCAATGTCAGCGAGACCACTTATAATTTATTTTTATATTTTCTGACTTCTTTGCTGATAAACGAAAGATTTACTCCAATTTCCAAGACCTTTCCGATAGTTACTTATCTACGCTTTTGACGAAGTGAATTTATCACTTTGCCAATCACTGAAATATTGGAAAAATGTCGACTATGTGCTATGTAAGTGAGCAAGTGTGTAACTGTAAACTGTAAACGAGCATTTTGTGTGGTTTTCAGTATTAACATTGTAAGGCAGACCAGTTTTTTGCATTAAATGGACAATGAACGTGAAAACCGGTTATCATTTATCAGAATCTTTAATCGCGTAATTGCACTTTTTACCTTGTTYACATTTCCCGTTATTTGCATACATTTTCGCAAAAACTTTGCGGTCTTTATTTTCGCTTGTAAATAGGAAGTTTATAGTACTTCTCGGATTGTTGACAGGAGGGAAGCCTGCCAAATTACTTATACGCCACGTCTTTCATTGCTTAAAGTAGCTTATTATTTATTTAATATTATAAACATAATAAGATATTAGTAATAATAYCCATAGCAAGTAGATAGTATTAAAAAAATCTGTATAAAAGTCAATCGAACTTAAAGGAGGTGTTCCATTCGCGGTATTAGGCTATCGTCCTTTTTGTGCCAAATTATTCAATATTAATCATAACATGAGATGTAGTGCAAGTCGCTTCCRAGTTGGTGCATCTTGGGTAACACTAAATGATCTGCGACCTTTACGACCTTTCAGCTCCTGGACGACTTTAGTTGTGATTATGAGTAGCCCTATGGGATTTTGGTAGAACACAGGGCTGATGATTGCGACTTTCTGATACCTGAATATGATGGGATGACACTAATCAGAAATGGCTAACGCTCACTTTGGTCTCGTGGTGACGTGGAAATCACCAAGACCAGCAAAGGAACCTCTACTAGACTCATGAAGGGCTCTACAGGGGATCCCGCAAGATATAGGTCAGTGTCGGCATGATTCCTAAAAGTGGCTAGAGGAAACTCTGAGGCACTCACAAGATGTCAGAGTGCCGGATGGTACCAGGGCTTCATAAATTCATTAGATATGCCGATGACCGATCGGTGTCCTGTACACGAATGGAAGGGAGTCAGGTAGGTGGCGACGGCTCTCGTCTCTCGTCTCTACCGTCTCTACTTGCCAACTGCTCATTCTTCAGTGAGTGAGATTGATGAAATCCCCGAATACTGCAACCCCTCATTACCCACGCATTATTGAAGAGTAACAAGGCTGGAGAGAACCGAGTGTTTGAATGAATTAAGGCGGGAGCCTGAATTAGAACTTCAAAAAATCGTTTTTTTTTTTTATTTTTTTTTTTTTTTTTTTTTTTTTTTTTTTTTTGTTTTTTTTTTTTTTTTGCTTAAATTACTTTAAAAAATATCTAAGAATATGTCCCGAAAGTTATAGATGGAAATTCGAAGTATTTTTGAAGCTAGAAGGGAAATAGTGACCGAGCCTTTAGCAGATATATTAGCGCTTGGGCAGAAAGCGAAAACTTTGACGTGCGATTTCTCAGTTGTTCATTTTTACGATTTTACTAAATTGGCGGATAAGATAAGAATTGGGGCAAAAATTTATTATCTTTGCCATTAAATTATCTTATATTTAAACAAAAAAACTAAGAAAGGTCATGTTTGAACCTATTTTTAAACAAAATAAAGTGGAAAATTTTTGGCAAAAACCCAATTTTTTTTTTCAAGTTTTAAAAAATTTTGGAATTTTACACTGTTTTAGTTTAACTAGAAGATATGTTATTAAAAAATATGAGTCTATTTAAATTTTTTGTTTCAGATAGAAATAGCGTCCCGCCCGCCGTCCGGCAAATGAACTTGCGAGATGCATSGGACAATTGCTTCCCAAAAGCAGAATATAAAAGATTTTGAATTCAAACAATGTGAGAATGRTGTTTAAATATTTAAMTATAAACCCCAGAAATTTCGTTTTAATCAATTAATTATTTCCCTCCTAAAGACATCCTGAAAAAATCGATTTTTTAAGCTTCTAAATCAGGCTCCCTCTTCAGCCACCAACGCTGCAATGGAAAAACTGGAGCTTTCTAAAAAACACAGCTCATACCCCACAGCCGAGGACAAAAAGGATTGACACGAGATCTTTATACAMAATTCACAAATCACATTTTTTTCGCTCCGACGTACAAAGATCCTTCACGCTGCGATCAAGTCGACATTGACATGATACGACGACGATACTGCATGATAAATCTTTTATATATTAATCAAAACACCAGACTTTTTAATAAGTTTTCTAGTTCGATAGGATGAGTGTTTTGTTGGTACATTTAGTGTCGCCGTGTCACAATATTTTTTTAGAACGGAAAATGTACTATCGTGCAGTGATAAAATTCTTATATTTGGAAGGTTTGCGACACGATTGTTACGTATATAATGATTGTTCACTTACAAATTGAACAATAGAAAGATGGGCTGCTGAATTTAGACTTGATCGTCCAAGCCTTGAAGACGATCCACATGAAGAACATCCGTAAACACCAGAAATCACAGCCAAAATACAGGATATGGTTTCGAAAGATCGTCGATTGACTGAAAGAGATTTAGTAGAGGCTCTAGACATCTCATTAGGCAGTGTGAGCCATATTTTAAGTGAAATTTTGAGTTTAAGAAAGCTGTGTGCACAATGGATGCGGCATTCGCTAACAATGGAACAAAAACACATTCAAATGCAACTTTCTCAGCAACATTGGGAGCGTTTTAAAAAGGATAAATTGGAGTTCGTGCGTCCATTCACCACCGTGGATAAGACTTGCGTTTAGCACCATGATCCTGAATCAAAACAAGAGACTAAGGAGTGGTGTGAAMCWGGTTGTTCGGCCTGGAAACGAGTTGGTGTCCGGCAATCGGCCAAGAAGATTATGGCATCAGTTTTTTAGGATGTGAAAGGCATTTTCTGGATTACTTGGAAACAGGTAAAACAATTAATTCTGAATATTACTGCCTCCTTTTTGAACCAGTTGAAGAAAAAAATTCCTGAAAAAATACCCGGTTTGCAGAAGAAAAAAAWTYTTTTTCAGCCTTTTCATCAAGACAATGCATCGTATCACAAGAGCATTTCGACAAGAGCTAAAATCCATGAAATAAAGTTCAAATTGTTTCAGTATCACCGTATTCGACAGAATATCCCAGTGACTACCATTTGTTTCCAGAACTCAAAAAATKTATCATCAAATGAAGAGGTCATAAGGGCTGTTGAAGCATATTTTACAGACCTTCCGGATTCTCACTTCAAGGATGGGATCCAAAGATTGGAGCATCGTTGGAGCAAGTGTATTATAAGAAGTAAAAGTGTATTTAGAATTATAAAATTGTGTTTTTTTTTTATCACACGACAAAACTTATTGAACAAGCTGCTAAAAAGTATTTATTCGAAATACTATGTATAAAATGTTATAATTCGAAATTCGGCATTAAAATAAGAGGAGTTTAAGAGAGAAATACGATATAATTTATTGATATTTAAAGCACAGCTATCATGGACCACTAATTTACAGATGAATATGGAGATTTTAAATATTTTTTACTCTAGCAGAAGTTGGTGTTAGTTATTAGACTTATCCCTTTAATTGATATTACTTACAGTTACGGAATTATGCTTCAATAATATTTTAAACAAACTAACACATCAGATTTTTTACATTATTATTATTTTGATGATTAACGCAGAAAATATATTAATCTTACAAACTTGGTATTATATCTGATTTGTACAACAATTAATTGCATTCCACCTACTTACTTAAGTTCAATCCAATGTGTTGTTGCCTGAAGATGACAGTGTACGTATGCTGCTAACACATTCTGCAATTTTACTATCCTGATGGAATTGTATAAGTACCAGCTCATATGTCACTATAGTGCCAGCAACCTAATAACATTGAACACACAATAACAGAAAGCAGAAGACAAGAAAATCAGAATCCCAGATAAGCAGGAAAACAGACTATTAATTATGTAGCTTGAATATGGTAAAATGATACTCGTGTATAACAAAAGGGAGGTTAATTTGAAGAAAGACAACAAAAAGCGTGTAAACGGAAATCAGAAATCAGATTGCACAAAAAGGAAGTAAGTAAAGTTCAACACACAACAAAGCAAAGCTGGTCTATGGACCATAGTACGCACGGCGTGCCATGCCATGTAAGCCATGAACAACAACAAAGCGTCAGTACAGAAGTAGTGAATAGGCGAATCGCCGAAGTGGCAGCACACGTGACTGCCCATGGACAAAGGATCGGCGGAATGCAAGGCTGCACGGTACTTACGCTCAACACCAATTTCCGTGTGAGATAAAAGAATTTCATGCCACTTAATGCAACCAAATCGGTGCTAATATCCTCCGAGAAGCGTTTCACCTCAGTGCACCAAGACTCCTTCGGCACGCAACGTAGCACGCGCAACGGCTTCCGTGACTCATCATTGATGCTGGCCGAATACAATGAAACGGCCAACGTGCGGCCGATAAGAAAGAAGAACGAGAAGTAAAAGTACGCGACATGGGCGAGCGATGGCATTTTACTACAATRAGWSRGAGAAAAGCAGACGAGACATAAAATTGCAGRCTATTACTCACCAGGCGAACTAAATTATATACCATTACCGAGGCATGTGTAAACTCACTTAAGACTACGTAGCAATTGCACACAAATGAAATACAAATTATTCGAGAAGGATATCATCGTGATGAGCGAAATGGCGCCGTCAATGCGTGTGCAGAGCTCGCACAAGTTCCGGTATTGTTTGCGTCGCGTCGACCAGTACATCTCGGGCATACGCTGTGTCGGTCAGTCGACCATAGAAAGCAATTAAAAATGTAAGACAATATTTGGAAGTGTGTAATATAAACTCACCATGCCCTTGAACTTGAATAAGTTATCGTTGAGCTGTCTAAATTTTGCTGCCAAACCGATGCTAACAATCATCACGAAGACATCCATATAATTCCAGATAAAGGTGCAGAGTATGTTCTGCACTTTGCCCCAAATAGCCAACGGTACGGAGTAGGAGAAAATCATAAATAAATGCTGATTGGTCAAAATAAAGTAGTTTTCGATTGGGTCCTCGGTCTGCGGACAATAATTGGAATAGTGTATGTTGGATAAGATATTCAGCAAGTGTTCGGCTGAAAAAAAAAAAATTAAAGAACATTATATTTAAACGATTATATTTGGCAAAATAGCACAAATTGAAAAATCTTTAAAATATTGCTTCAAAACTTTTCGGGTCCCTTGTGGATTGGTTTCTCGAAGAGCGTTTGTAAATGAGATAAAAAAAACGTATTTGTTTTAGCTGAAAAATAGAATCGACAAAGGATTCTGAAATTAAAATTCTACATAATGTTTATTGTAGTCTAGAACATATGAAATCTGTCCAATCTTAGCTCATGATGGCTAACAGAAAATAGCGAACACTATTTGGAAACACAGTAGTAAGCTCGAATGCGAGGTGCGTTACAGATCTAAAGCTCTTCTGCAACCCCTCTTTGTAGGTAGCTTAAGCCATAATGACTATTACTTCGTCTGTTACGAGATTGTGTACAAAAGTTGTGTAGATACCAGAAGGGTCCTATTATATTTCGTACACTCTAATCTAAAACTATATATTAAACTAATCGCGGTGAAAAGTTTGGAGTTGAATGATTAGCATGATGAGATGTTTTGAAATCTAGGTAACTGCCTGTCCGTCTGTTTGCCTGTTTCATAAACCATTCAAACTTTATCAACCAATTTTGCTCGCACAAAATCTATTCGGTACGAGGCGGCACGATAAGTCCGGTTGTATTGAAAATTATTAAAAGTACTATAACTGCTATAGAAGCATAAAACTTCACGTTATCCCTATACGTATGAGACAGAATGGCCTTATAGCAGGCGTTGTCAATCTTGGACAATAAACATGGTATCCTCCAACTTTAGGGGAAATCATATGTCTTAGGAAATATTCGACCAATCCAAACGGATAATGCATAAAATCGGGCCAAAACTTTCCATATAATATAATAGTAAAGTTAAGTAAGCATATAAAACTGGTTGTACTAAAGATTTGTGTTCAAAATGTGTGAAATGGCTCATTGACTCTAGCTTCACTGCTTCTTTGTCGTTCGGCTCATCTCAACTTTTGCAGTGTCAGGGTTGTCGTTATCTCCATAGTATACCATACTTTTCTCGTTTACAGCATATATATCACTATATTATAAGTTATTATTCGGCCTGCCCCTTGCCTCTTCAGATCCTATCGCTCTGTTGTAAATATCGGACAGTAGAAAATTATACCCTCCGCATTTTCGCTACTGCTACCAAAGAAGAGAAACTCTATTGTCATGACCATATCTATTCAGGTGCTCTCTAAATCATTCGTGGTACTTCTCTATGCTGCGGGAGACGTAGTCATGTAGGACATTCCATAGGAGTGGACCCAATACGGAGCCTTGTGGCACACCACCAGTTACATTATACTCTTTGGTCCTTCATCCGTGACATAGATCAGCAGCCTTTCAGACAAATAGCTCTGTATGATGGGCAGGTATGTGGGGCCAGTATGTGCGGCCAGTAAGCCGAATTAATTGTGTTTTTCACATCGAGCGCATACTTTGTTRCCATACATCCACTTATCTCTTCTATGGCATTTTAGGCAATACCTGTGAACTTCTTAATTGCGTCAACGTTTGAGGGTGTTTTACAGAAGCCGTATTGATTGTTGAATAGACTGCAAGCCTACTCTTCTAAGTTACTTTCTAGTCGGACACAGATAATCCACTGCAGCATTTTAATCATTGTGTCGATAATGCATAATGCGCGGCAAAGACTCGCTTATTCTTCTGCTTTGTTTGCCTTGTGAAATAGCACTAGAAACTGCATTTTCCATATCTTGGGGAAAATCCCTTCTCGTAGACAACTTGTAAATAGCTCCATAAATTATTTTGCATTGTACTTTATTGCGAGCTTCAAGGTCCTGTTCGGGATTCCATCCAGGCCTGGTGCTTTCTAATTACCAAACCGTTCAGCAGCTTGTAGTACTTCGAAATTATTCACTTTTACTGCATCTGTGGCCTCGGAATGCCGTTTCTACCACATTTTTAAGCAACGTTGGCCAGGTCAATGTTTGCCCCTTGCCCATTTCTATATTTTCCATTACGATTTTATGTACCTCGCCCAATTACCCGTTTCGACTTACATATGTCGATACACTTGTAATCACCCAGGAGACTCCACGACTACTCTAATAAATAATGCGCATCCTCAGAGATGACATACCGAAGACCCGATTGCTGCAGTGAATACCAAAGATAGCTTGAAAGATTCCAACCAAAAATTGGAGCTATGCTCATCCATTTTCTAGAAAATTTTACGGACGGATCTCGGTTTGCGGGCTTAAGAAATCCAACTCTTGCAAAAKATAATACCGAACGTTCATCAAGCGAGTCGCACATACGGTGAGTGGACTCAAAATGAGATTTCTACTGAACTCGATGTCATAAATAAAATTGTTGCGTTTGGAGTAATGATAATCYCTAAGACACTATATGGTTTGATCTATGGGGAAAAGAACTCATTGGTTCTTTTTTTCTTAAAAATGAAGCCGGTCATAATGTTGCAAACTAAGGGAAATGCCACAAAGACATGATTTATGACTTTTTCGTAGCTGAATGAGAGSATGTTGAAATGTACGACATTTGATTCCAACAAGAAAKGAAGTGGATTATCTCGCCTCCTGCACTTATCGCTTTTCTTCCCAAATAAATCACAACATCTGGATTATTTGGTGCGGGTTTATGTAAAGTCACTTGACTATGCAGATAATCCTAAGGCAACTGACGCCTTGAAAGAACGATAAAGCTTTTCAACATCTGTAAGTACTTCCTCGGCTTTTAGCCCTAAAAATTGAGGGAGGATAAAATGTGTGATTAACTTCGTTCTTAGTTGTTCCTTACATTTTTAGTTGTAAAATATACATTAAAACCTCGAATATAATCTATTCTTCCATTCTTCTCGAACTTAGGCATGTTTTTATTGTCCGACTGTTAATTTTAAGCGATTTCATATTCCTATAGGTGCTTGTCAATCCTTCACAYGAACCACCTTGTATATGGATATGTAAGTAAGTGTATCAAGGAATTTCATAATTCGCTCACTCATAATTCATACACGCTCTAATTCCCTACTCCTTTACTTACACCTACCATATGTACTCTGTGTCATATCAAATGATCATTAAACTTACCGAGTGACAACGTCATGGCCACAACTGTCACCATATTAATCCTGTACGCCAGACGTCCTTTCTCCATTTGCGTTAAATACTCCGGCAAGTCGCATTCGATTTCGTACCAATCCAGCATCAATGCCGGCCAYTTGCGCGCCAATACGATGGCACTGATGCAAACCACAATAATAGACAGACGAAATATCATCGGCTCTGCACAATTACCAAATGTATGTACGAGTAATTGTGTGAGTAAGAGAGCAAGTGTCATTGTAGGCGATCCAGGTCACAAAATGAACGACACCGAACGAAGGACGGTGAACGATTGAGGAATGATGCAGACATGACAGAGATAAATGTTTATGTAATAAAGAAGTTACCATGTAATTCCATTAAAGCAAAATTGTATGTTTGGCTTTGTATATGTCCTTTGTGACTTAAACAAGAAAAACAATAAAGCGAAACATTAAAATGATAGCTGTCTAAGTGTCAAACGCAAAGTTCAATTTATGTGCATGCGACCACTTGGATTTTCACATTTCCTACCGTGACTGTGATTAAGTTGCCTCGTTCTTACACTCAGAGCTGTGTATGCAATTTTCTGCATTTATGCGCTCAAGCTCTCGCGACTTACCAACACTGTCGAAGTTTATTGGTTTGTGAAGCACTTTGTTCATTGCCAATCCCAAATCAATTATTGTCGTTGTTACGAACAACAAACAATATAAGGTCCGGATATTTGTCCATGAAAACGACAACTGCCGTGGGTGGACCGCAGTGACTCCCTTGACCGGCATTATGGCGAAGAACTCGGCGAAGAGCAGCACTGATTGATCAACGGCAGGAGAATGAAAATATCACAAAAGAAAAATGTTGATTAGTGGAGGACAATGTGCAATTACTTATCAATAATTGTTTTTATTGTAAAATCTTAAGATTCAATATGTGAAACTTGGAACCACAGACTTTATTATGCGTTACATAAGAGTTCTRGTGCACTACGTTATATATGATATTGAATTATACAAGATTATGTCCAGCGAAAAAAGATATTGAGTAATTCAATGGAAGAGAGTTTGACGAAAACAATTTTATATAGAGTGCAGCAGAGTACTCTGTTTTAAGGTTAGTGACATTGCAGCTTTTCAGTCAAAGGTACTTTCTAAAACCATATGTAGATAAGGTTCTACCAAAATGACGCAAATAGTTGACAAATTAGTAAAAGATAGCTAGAAATCGGAAAGGATAGGACTGATCTGCTTTACACTTTTGTTTCCAGATCCTTTGTTTTTTTAAGCCAGAAAGGCTTATCTTATAAGGTCTACAAATTATCACTTTATAGTAAACGAATCACTAGAGGAGATATGTGAGTCAATARAAACGATGCAGAATAAAATTTCCAAAAGAGTTAACAGAGAGATCAGTGTCATGTGGAATGCCTTTGAGGCATGCAGGATCGCCAAGATCAYTTGCAAGGGCCTCGAAAAAAACACGCATGGTTTTTACGACGGTTTTACACGCGGTCTCGAAAGAACTTCAGAACGGTTGATGGCATATTGACAGGTCACAACTTAGTGACATCACACGCAACCCGGATGGTCATAAAAAACGATGATATAGACGAAAAAGTACAGGGAAGAAAGACGCACATCTCCTATGCTTCTGTCCAGCCTTGTCTAGAACTCWTCTTAGATGTATARTAGCATCGCAGATGAAGTRTCAAAATTAGATATCAAGTCACCCTTAAAGTTCGCAAAAACGTTGACGAATGCTTTAGTTCAAATTAAACCGAACCATAACGCTACCCATAACCAAACTTCAAATAAGAGGTATGGTTAAGTCAATGCCGTTATGATAGAGCACCACTTATTGGAAAAAGTGTTGTCCATAAACTTGGTTCAATCAGTAGTTTTATATTGTTATGGCACCTATAATTAAACCTTAAGCACCAGCATTTATGTATAGCGTGACAGCGATCCAGTATAACATAACCTAACTTTCAGCTGATGCCAACTTTAAAATAATAGTGGTTTCACTAGTCGGAACTTTGCCAAATAAGCAGCTTTTGGAAGAGAAAATGACGTGTTCAACATTTCAAATAGATATTTTAACAACGATTTGTTTGCGTATACTATATACCGAACCCTTTCAGATCCAAGTCAAGATCAGCAATAGCTTTGTCCTCAAATAAAGTTGACTTCTGTTTAAACTTTCTGCGATTCAGACGATATCAGATAGTAGTATCAAATTTTTACTTTAATAGTTGGGATGTAATGGGATCTCCTTATGATTCTGGGTAAGCAGTTACTTGTGTGGGATAAGGTAGCAAACCCTGGCCAAAAAAGAGAAGCTTTAGTGGGGGCACTCCGGCATATTCGGTTTAAGAGTTCGCTGAAGTCTAACTCTAGGCCCGATGTTAGGAAGGTACCGATACTCGACTAGTTGATGTCCTTCTAAAAGTGAAGGCTAATATAACCTCCGTCCAAGAAATGCGTCACGACAAGGACGGATGGGACTAGAGTGGTGAAATAAAGATTCGAAAATTCGGCGGAGGATTCCTGGTGGAAGAAGTACTCACTCGCCGAGTAAGAATCATCACTCCGGTAGATGAGTGTCATATCACAATCCGCATGAGAGTAAAATTTTCACCATAGCACTAATYTGCCCCATGTCCCGACGGAAGAGAAGGACGATATTACCAAGATGCYTTTTATGAGGCACGATGTAAGAATTGTGCCAGTGTCCTTGACGACACGTGCGTACGCACCGAGAACCTAACATCGCCTCAGTACAGCAGAGTACGCGATTCAACAAATATGTATAGCAAAGGTACCACGTCGATAAGGTACTATTTCATGCGACAGCGAACGTGCTTGAACCTTGTGTGTGTGGTTTTACACCAGAAAAATCCACTGTCGACCAGATTTTCACCACGCTCAAAACCTTTTTAAAATACCCGCGAAAGTAAGATCGACACACACCACCTCTTCGTCGATTTTAAATCCACTTTCAACAGTAGGAAAAGGGACCGCCTTTTTCCCACGGTTTTAACTCTGCTATAATCGAGTTAGCATTGTCCACGCCAGTAAAAAAAGAAGAGTTGTGTTACCGCACCAAATTGTAGGAAGTAACACCAACTCTAAATAAAAGCGGCAGGCAGAAAACTTTAATTGAAATATGTAAATATCACCTACATATATAATATATAATCATGTATGTATTTGACTCACCTTTACCGACAGCCTGATGAAAGCTGCCATCGTGTTGAAAATCTTCCTTCACCGACTTGGCCAAAACTTCTGACATAAATTGGTAAGTTAATGGTAATGATGTTAATTAGTCACTTACTTGGTGGTTTATCTATTTGCCGTTGCATGAGCTCCCTTTGAGCAGCAAACTCCATGCAGGTACGACTAATTAGGGTAGTTTTGTGGTTCGSTTTCTGCGGTGCATATGTCGCGATAGCAATAGGGCCATTTTGGCTGTAAATTATASATAAATTAATATATACCATATATGRAGTGSAGTTTCTGAAAAATTTTGGAAATATTGCCGACTTAAATTAAGTTGATAMAAAAATCATCCCAGACCGCAAAGCCACCGTTAATATTTTGAGCAACACATTCGTTTATAGTGCTACCAGGCGTCTTAGTTTTAGTAGACGTCCAGCTTGCATTTCTCATCTGAAGACATTGGACTGTTTTCGGAAGTACCGCTCAAGTTTTGTGTCCAGGCCTTTTAAACATAATCAGGATAATTTTTTTTTTTTTAATTTACTATGGTGCACTCTATATACGTAGGTATGTGTACGGATCCCTCTAACACACTTGAACTATTTTTCGATGGATCGGGCTTTAAAATTTGGCATACGCGCTTCATTCACAAGAACACTTCTCTCCCACTCACCTAAGCCGGCGTATACCGCGCTCGCATTGACGCCGCCACAATCGTCGATTCTTGCGYGCATCTTGCTGTTGTTGTACACGTAAGCGCGCATCCGCGGCTATGTTACCGATTTTCCAACCGATTTTAAATGCAAACTTCATAACATTACTTCACAGACGAGTTATTTTGGYGGAAAATCGAATTGCAGCGAAGTAGTTGTAGCTGCAAATGCGACTCGTTGCAACACGAGTGGCGTGGCGCACTCAACTGACAGTGCTTCACACCCGTTGTAGCTCTGATTAGCATGTTTTACTCGCAAGCCAGTACTTCGATTATCACACGCGATTTATGTACTATATGTGAAGTGCGTGCAGATTTGCTTATGATTGCGCCACCTGGCGCATTTCCCACAATCTGCATGCGAAGTAAATTTATCAGTGTCCAAACAGTTAATGGCTGACTGAGCAATTTTCAAATGAACAAAAAAACATTACCATAGCAAGTAAGCAAGAGCTAAGTTCGAATGCAACAGATTTTGGCGTGCGCTAGAAATAAATCCATATGATTTTTAGTTAGCTCTAGCAGAAGCACGTATAATTTGACAGCTGTCGRATTATTATTCTAACTTTGGACGTGGTGTTGTCAGCACCGAAGACGGTAAACGCAGTGGACTCCCGAAATATGTTGTTTTCGATGAAATAATTTTGTGAAGTGAAATTTCACGGTCAWCCAAAATTATTTCAGAGATAGCAGGTACTCAATGTATATCAACGAGTCAATGATTCGGAGCAGTGATTGAAGAGGTTTAAGCGTAATGACCCCGAGTTTATGAGGCGATATGTGACAATGGCTGAARCGTGGCTCCCTCGTCATCCATCMATCCATCCATCATCACTCTAACGTCCAATCGACAATCCTCCGATTAGACTTCACACGATTAACCCGCTTCAAAACGTGGCAAAACCAACAGTCGGCTGCCAAGGCATCTGTATTTAACGACGCACATGTAATAATTTTTATTGACTACCTTGAAAAATGAAGTACATAGTACTATTAGATCATTTGAAGGACCAAATCGTCGAGAAACGCTCGCATTTGCGGAAGAAAGAAGTGCAGTTTCGCCAAGCAATGCAGCGTGCCACAAGTCTCTGAAAACAATGGCAAAAATCTATRAAATGGGGCTTTGAATTGCTTCCGCGTTCACCGTATTCTCCAAATTTGGCTGTCAGCGATTGTTTTCTGCATCTAAATTTCAAATCAATATTCGCTGGGAAGAAAATTGGGTATAATAAAGAGGGGATCCCCAAAACCGAAGGCTACTTTGAGGAAAATGAYAATYCRTACTACAAAAATGACATCGAAAAGTTGAAGGATCTAATAAGTATATTACCTTCGAAGGGATTTAAAAATGTTATATGATAGGTCGGGGACTTTTCAATTGATCGGTTACTTTCGAAATTTGCAAGGATCTAAGACGGGAGAAGAACTTCAAGTGTTTGCAGAACTTTGTAATAAGTAAWAAGAAGTTTTATAGTATCTTCTGCTGCCTTCTCACAGCCTTCAGAATAGAAATWAGAAAAGAATTTCTTTAATACTGTGATCTCCGCTTAAAATACACTGTAGTGAGCTGGACGATTTTTGTATCTAATTTTTTTGAAAAGACCACCTCCTACTGCATTATTTAGTTTGGAACCATCCGTATAGATGTTTACCTTTGTGCCTTTGTCCACATCGCCTCTTCCCCACTGCGCTCTCTAAGGGAAGACAATATTGCAGACCGAATTAGAATTCAATTCAATTTGGAAAATTCGTGATAATTGGTAGAAGCAAGARCTTACAAACTATCGTAGAATGTGGATTCCATCAGCCTAATACTAACTTTGATGCCAGCTCTTTGCAAAATAAACCTTTCGGCAGTAAGTATAAAATGACGAAAAGTGTCTGGCTTGAGCTCCACTGTTGCAAATATTATCAGCTATTTTTGTGCTTTCCATACGTTTTATCGCATATTTCTTTTCCGCTTGTGGCTACCTTACCGTAATTTAATAATTTACTTAATTCAAATTGCTCCAACCATAAACTTAAGCTTACATCATTCATAATTTTATTGCCCTCAACTTTATATAATATTAGCGTATCTTTTGTAATAGCTTACAAAACAGTAGCGTTTAAAWTTTTTCCAAAGTAATAATCATTGTAAAAGAAGCCTCTTATGCAAGCGAGGAAATGACAAAATATCTTACAATGCAAATAACTTTGCGCCTTTCAATTACAGAAAACTCATTTCTTTCGACTTACCTCGGGGCAGCAACATTCTTTCATCTTGTAGATGTTAGTGCAACCTCTTCAATGGAATTTTAATTACAAATTAACTACAACTTTAATTAACACCAATAACAAYTCGCATTTCTGCATATTGCAWTATAAAATACASAGATACAAATATAARTGTACATATATAGTACATATTTTCCTTTCAGCTTACTATGTCCATTTGCAATTCCTTTCTTAAATACATACATATATTTAATATAGTAGTACATACTCACCTGTGTTATGTGGTTTTATTTCATCCTGGCTGGAAGATAGGTTTGCTTATCTGTTGAGCTATTTTTAAGAAATAATGATGCTGAAGAAATCAGATAACTGAAAGCGAAATAAACTCTGAAACTTTCACTAACTGACCGAATCATTCTTACAGTCCTCCAAAGGGGTTTGAGAAATTGGAAATGACGATAAATATCAGTTAGGCATGGCTCAGCTATTCGCCATTACCGAAAATTAGCCTGAGATGGTTCTTGAAAAAGGACACAGRTGTGGTGATATCAAAACATATAGGTCCACAGCAAAAAACTTCTATTGGAATTCTTCCTAAGAACGAAGTCAAAATAATTTAAAAATCGGATCGCTTTAATTCACGGGTATGAAGCAGAAGTCTGACTATGCTTAATGTATTCACAGAACTGTGAGTTGTTGCCGCACTCTGCTTCATCTTCAACAGCGCWACAACATTCCAAGATTACGATTTTAATTGAAATACTAGGTACTTCAAAATCTAATGCACTTTATAAATACTTTTGTATTTTATTTAGYTTTTTGTTTGAGACTCTTATAACCTTACCTAAAAGAACATGATCCTGCGACAGTGCATTGTAATATATATACTATATAAGCTCCTCGAATACATGGACGACTAATCACCCGACCTTTGCACTCAGTTAAATATCAATCATCCTCGCCCTACAAACTCAGTGAAACACCCTTTTATTACAGTTTCACAATATATTTCAAACAAACATACTAGCTGCATATCCGTACATGTACATGCTGCAATATATCTAGTACGGCCGATAAATGCTCAGCCTTCGTAGCAATCGTTCACTTTATCCTCCTTATTGAATTGCAATAAAACCAATTCGTAGGTTACAATGCTGCCGGCTACCTATAAAATACAGAAATGAACTGATATAACATACGAGTATGCATACATATAGCGAACTCTGAAAGTAAGTGCTAGAGTATGCTATATAAATATGCAGACAAAATAAAACAGTCAATCAAAATATAATAAACAGAATTGTAAGAAAGAAAAATATGCTTTGGTAAGTCAGTTTATTATTTTGAGTATATGAAAAATATTCCACATAGCTAGTACAGTTGACGAGGGATTCCTAAGCACTAAGTTTTTTAATTCTTAAGGAGCTCGCGAGATCATCACTTGAAAAATTTTGACCTTGGTATCGGACATTTGTTTATGCAATATCAAATTATAGTGTTTTCAAAACCTCAAAAACCAACACGACATTGTTCAACATTAGAACATTGTTTTTTATATCTTCATCCTTTCTTTTCTAAGAGAGAGTAATTCAAAGCAAAAGTTACCGTTTGTGTTCCAGTATCATTGAATTAAAGCGTGAAGAACATTTTTTTTCACTCAAATACAAGAACATTCTATAACGAGCTTTATGCCCGAAGAATTGTTTTTGCGGACCTGTAACTAGACCAACAACTGAAGCAGTATATTAACCTATAAATAGAATTACTAATAACAGGCCTTAATATTTTCCGATAAACAACTTGAATTTGGAAATGCAGCAACTTTCTAGATACCCTTAAATGTACTGCAATAACTTAAAGTTTTATTCAATAACTCTTGTCTGTGTAGTATGGCTTGCACAACAAATGAACAGTTTCACAACTGTAAATATATACAAACATTTATATACGATTTACTTACCGTAAGCACAAGACCACGCGTAAGATGAAAGAATTTCATGCCTGACAACGCAACAACATCTGTGGTCACTTCTTCCGAGAAGCGTTTAAGCTGCCAGCAYATGTGAAAGTATGTAAGTGGCACCGGAACGTGGGTGTGCATTTTCCGCAATATAAATTGRTAAAATAGAAGAATGATTATCAATGTTGCTACATACAAACATAAATTTATATGAATATTTTTCGATGGGCAGTATCAAAACCAGAACCCTAATTTTGCAATTAAACTATGCAAATTTCTTCTATCTACTACGTACATACATATGTGGAGTTAGGACAGGTGAAAGACCCTCATTAAATAATACCAATAAATATATGGTAGAATGATTGAAGCTAAAATGATAGTACACGTTGACTTTTGTCTCCGGGTGTTAAATAAATTATTAATTTTAATTAAAAATAATAAAAAAAATTTAAATAACCAGATATACATATTCGTTCTAAATTCACTTTCAGATTATTCCTCAAACTAAATTCTGGGAGTTATAACCGTCGTATGAGTACAACCATAACTCACTCTTCCGAGAGTTTTTTTTTTTGACCATATATATATTATATTTGTAAGATCACCCAAACGACGTTAGCCAATTGCGCTTAAAATCCTTATCTCAGAGATTKCGTATTTCGATTTCTTCTTTAATGCGTCTTTTCTTAAGTTCGTTTGATTAGGAAATGCGTGACATTAAAACGTAATTAAYAATTACCATAACAATTTGATAGTTCGTTTCGTTTATGCATTGACCTATCACAGTTGTTGTTTTAACGAATACCTAATCCCCATTGGGATGGTACGGRTTACATAATATGTTATCGACGTCATGCAACGGTAGAAGCAGGAAACGTGCTGTTTCGATGGGCTCGGATCAAAGGGAGAAGTGTGTCAGATGTGTAGGGTTAGCAAGGCATGCAAAGGGTGGCTAGTGTCAGGRACTCATTGCATTGTGTTTGATAAGTCAGGGTTTATTTTAGATAAGTAGAAGCTACAACTATATTATCAGGAACTCSAGCTCTTCGTTTACAMAARRTTGTRRTTTAAYTCCAAGTACGCCATTCACTGAGATGGAGTCGGTGMAGGTGTGCATGTCTGAAGTTAGTKRCTTCCGAAGTCTGGTCGGCGTATKGTTTTATATCGACGAGTTGAGGAATGACCTCTTTATGCTCCGAGAGGGGGTTCCGCTCCAAGCAGGTGACTGWAGAGATGATTTCTGTGAAAGCGTCTCAACAGAAATTGCTTAGAGAGGAGACATCAAGAGACAACCTGTCGTAGCTCGGAATGCAGTGGTCTGACATGTTTGTAGCTTTCTCCTCTGTCTTTCACTTCACAACAACAATGTAAATGTCAAAGGTACTCATTCGTCCAATTTGTGAGTTGGGTCGTTGTAGATATAGTGGGAGAAAGGAAGCGAGAAAGACCGAAGACATAGCCATTTATGTTTGAGCACATGCTATCGATTACATTGCCCATTTATCAATTCCCACAACAGTCGTTTCTACGTTTACGGAATTGATCCGGATTTTATTCGCTCAAGGGCTGTACTTTTGGAGATCTGTAAGTTTCAGTATTTTGTTGTCATCACTGGAGCAACGCCTTGCATAAGGGTTGCTCCGTATCCTTCTGACTCGTGCTGGCATTGAGTCCAACACGGCGTCAGAGGATTTCTTTCGCTACGTCTACGCCAAAAGCTTCATTCAAACTCCACCTTGGTTAGGTATAATACATGCTTTAGCATGGAGCCATCTTAAGACCTGCTCAGGTCTTAAGGCTCACAGGGAGTATACCATCGCACTACTGCGAGCTTAGTTTCTATGGCTGTGCAGTCTGCACCTAGTTCGCGCACTGCGCCGCCGCTCCATCAGAATGGCCTACAGAGAACTTTTACGGTCTATAGAAGCTCAAATAAGCGGGATAACTAGTATTACGACCAATCTCCAACTACTAATGCGACAGCTGTTAAAAGTATACACCCGTTTTTTGACGGTTAACTAAAATCCATATGGATGCTACGTATCAGGCGCGGTACTTTTCAATTGATCTGTTATCATTTATATGTTAATTAGATTGAATGAGATGGAGCTTCATCTCATCCATGCTCCATAATATTTAGTTGCTGATATACGAATTAAAAACAMAAAAAGAACACTTACTTCACGGCACCAGGACACACTTGGCACACTCCGAAATACCACAAGCGGCCGTTTGGATTCTTCATTAATTTCAGCACTATACAAAGACAACATTAAGGTGCGCATCAAGAGAAAGCCCAAAGAGAACCAAAAGTACATTGTATGTGAAAAAGATGGCTTCTTTCTAAAAAGATAATTATAAACGGTTATAAGKTAAAACATTTGACCAGAAAACGTGTCAGCTGCGAAACTTGTGGTAAAGAAAATAGTAGAAATTAAACGACTGAAGATTATATATCATACATTAAATACAAAAGAGTAAGTTCTCAAAACTCACTGTAGACTCTTAAGAATTTTACCACAGATGAAAAACAAGTTATTGGAGAAACACAGCAGYGTGATTATCGAAATCGTATCATCAGTTGCTTCGCATAATTTACACAAATTGCGATAGTTTATGCGATTTTCAATCCAGAATTTCTCGCTTGTTGGCTAAAAAGAAATGAGCAAGCAAATGTRGTGGACAGTTTCTATTTTCTTAACAAATACATATATCAAACCTAGAGGACACACAAATGTCGAATATAGTATAAGATGTGCTCGTGAATCAACAAGTTAAGATCAAAACATTTATAAGCACACAACGAGCAACAAATAATGACCAGCTTACCCGCTTAGCAACGCGCAACATATGCTCGTTGAGTTGGCGAAAACGTGCTGAGAGCGCCACGCTCACTGCCATCACGAATATGTCATTGAAATTCCATGCGAACGTCGATATTACATTCAACACTTTGCCGAAGATGCCCGCCCAATCAGTGTAATCAAAGAAATAGAAATACTGTGACCAGTTGGTGTATAGAAAACTCCGGATAGGGTGCCCAGGCATGGTGGGACACGCATTCACATAATAAATAATGCCCAACATGCTAAGCAAGTGTTCTACTGCACAGCGAAAGTGAAATAGCAAAATGAATGCAATCGTTTAATACTCTCACTGCAGCTTACACTTACCCATGGAGCACATAGTCGCCACTAGAGTGATCATTTTTATGCGATGAGCCAACGCTGCTCTCTGCATTTCCGTTTTCAGTGGCGGCAACTTGGACTCAATACTCTCCCACTTCACCATTAACGCCGGCCACTTGCGAGCCAATTGAAAAAATGCCATCGCAATTAGAAATATTGAAACATAAAAGACGATCGCTTCTGCAAACAAAAATAAGGAGTTTATAGGAAAACTTACGTTTATGCTGTGAACTTACCCACTGTATCGAAGTTAAATCTTTCGCGAAAAGCAAAGGCGATGGTRCAGAGGCTGGCCGGTCCAAGGCAAAAAATCACCAGCATTGCGTAGCAGGTGCGTACAGATTTCCACGAAAAATACACCTTCGCAGCAGTTTTCGATAATATGCCACAAACAGGCATCAAGGCGAAGAACTGAGCGAGCAGCAAAACTGAGAAAAAACTTACATTTGAAAACGAAACTTCAAATTTCGCAACACATAGGATGACCTCATCAAGGTCATTGATGTCCAAAAATGTATACTGTAATTCGAACTTATAAATCAGCAAAGCGCCCTGGGGGCACTAAAAGGAGCAAGAACCGATGGTAGCCCAGCGCCAGTCAAGCTCCCGCGAAGTTCAACTATCCCARTAGTAGAACACACGATGGGAGAAGAGCACCGATTCATTCTATTCATTTCATTCTACTACTAGGGGAGCGAGAGTGTCTTTCCTTGCCAGCTTGTCAACTTTACAGTTGCGTTTCTGCTGTGGCCAGACACGCCTACYAATCTTTGAACAAACTGAATTAATGCCATTGATAACGAGGTTAGCGATTCCTTAACTAACCCTGAATGCACGATTAGTGAGCTCATGGTCCTGCTAACAGAGTGGATAGCACTTCTCTGAGGGAGAATGAACTCCGGAGCAGTAAATCCACAGGTAAATTAATGACTGCAAGGTCGGCTTGAARAACACTGCATGGACTATTGCAGTTAATTAACCAAGCCACCATCATTCATTAAAATTTAACCCCATTGCCATTATTTATGTAGGGCATGCCTTTTAAAGAATGGGTCTTACCTCAAAAAATATATAACCTGTTTGGATAAAGAATCTCACATACACGATAAAAACTTTTTTGGAGCTTCGGCTAGCTTAAATATTTAAAATTTATCGTTCTTTCCTGGCCTAATTTCAAGTTAAAAGGTAAGACCGAAAAATGGTTTCCGAAGTTSTTTGATMATAGGAACATAGAACTAGACCATTYTAGTRCACCATTTCCACTAAATTAACATCAATTATCGCACACCCTAACCAATACAGAGGGTATACTTAAAGTCCACAAATTGATCACTATCTTTATCTACTCTTGACAAAATTTGCTATAAAAAATATTTCCACTCAGTTTTACGTATTAAGAGAACCCATACAATATCTGATATAGACTTGTCTTGCCAACCGGTGTTACTTTGGGATCGGTATGCCATTGCGAAGCAGATCCATCTTTCGACGAATCAAATTACGTTCCTTAAGTCTGTCATCATTCGCGGCATAAGAGCATTCGAGAGATTTGTGCTCTGCAAGGTCTTTGGACCGTCCACGTGAGCGATGAATATCGCAGAAGARTAAACCATGAACTTTATGTGCTCTACACCGACATGGATAACTATATCATGGATAACTAAATGCACAAAAATCCAACGAATACACTAATTGGTAAAATGAAGTTCCATCGAAACATTGGGAGTTTAATTCGATGCCCAACAATTGACCACATATTCACCATGCGCCAAATCTTGATGATATTGATATTATCGCCCTCAACACCCGCGCCGTTAGTACTGCTTTCTCCAGACTATACAAGGAAGCAAAGCAAATGGGTCTGGCAGTGAACGAGGGCAAGACGAAATATCKCCTGTCATCAAACAAACAGTCGTCGCACTCGCGACTTGGCTCTCACGTCAGTGTTGACAGTCATAACTTTGAAGTCGTAGATAATTTCGTCTATTTAGGAACCAATATAAACACTACCAGCAATGTCAGCCTGAAAATCCAACAAAGGATTACTCTTGCCAACAGGTACTACTTCGGGCTGAGTAGCCAATTGAGAAGTAAAGTCCTCTCTCGACGAACAAAAGCCAAACTCTATAAGTCACTCATTATATATATGGTCCTCATATATGGTGCAGAATCTTGGACGATGACAACAACAAATGATGAGTCGACGTTGCGAGAGAAAAGTTCTGCGAAATATTATATTTATGGTCCTTTGCGAATTATCCACGGCGAATATCACATTCGATTTAACGATGAGCTGTACGAGATATATGCCGCCATTGAGATAGTTCATCGAATTAAAAGACAGCGGCTACGCTGGCTAGGTCGTCATGTTGTAATAATTCAGATAGGCAAGGGTATACTAAACACTAATTATTATTTTGATATGAMATTTGGCACAGATATCACTGACAGCCATACCAACCCAAAAAAAAAAATATTTCGGCGCATAGGCACTCGGGTGAAATTTTAATTAAAAAGTCTTACTATTTCTTACCCACATTGAAGAATTTGCGTTAAATAGAATGAAGCAATTTGAATTATTTTGCCTACATAGTTATAATGTCAATCGAATTGGTTTTTTCTCTACATAAAACTTACCTGGTCCAATGGCCTCTAAAAAACTGCCCGAATGTTCATAATCTWTTTTGGTACCGCGCCGAAATAAATTTCGTACTGCAAAAGAAATATGCTATGAAATAAAAATTGGCTGACAGTTTTAAATGCTGCAACATGACAATTCTGTSACTCTAATGAAAATATTTTATGAATATTGGCACAAACTGTTAAATTGATTCGCTGCAATTGTGTACCTACGAGTATGCTGGTATATTCAGATATAAATGTGGATACGTATGTTAAAAGTGAATTTTCGCGTAATGAAGTTGATACTAAAGTTATATACAAAACAATAAATAACTAAATGCGCGAAATGTTAAAAACATATTGTTRATAAAAGTGAAGTAATTTTACTTTTGTATTTGACTTCAAGCTCACCTCGCACCATACCAATCTGTCTTTTACGTTGTTTCACCGATTTCGGTTTAGCACTCCATTCTTTTAGTTCAAGCRAACTACATTGAGGAATAAGCAATGCAAAAAAGATATTAACCGAATGAAATACAAAATATGTTCCTCTGTTAAAGATCATTGCCTACCCGCTGCCCACTTTTCTACCCCGCTGCCACACTTTAATATTCTGCAAGCGCACTTGCTGACGTTGCAGCCAATTTTTCGTGACGTTTGCCGCCACCTTCATGTCAATTTGCGAATTTTCAACGTTTAATTAAGGATTTACGAGCGTGGGCACTTGATGATTTCTGCCTGCGAATGAATATCTGCGCGCCTACACATATGCAACAATCCGTTGCCGAATTTCATTTGCTACTGACTGCGTGTGAAAAAGTGCTTTGCTCGCCGGGACACGGACATTTACAACATTGTTGCGAATTAAATATTTAAGCTGACATGTGACGACGCCCACTCTTCGCTGCGACACATATTCAAATGCAATTACAAAACGCTGTTGTTGTAGCTGGAAGCAATAACGCTACACTTAATAGCTTTGTTATTTTTAACACCAGAAACTCGTTAAGAAACGGAATTATGAACATTATGAGCCAATTTCTCTGTAGAAAATTGCAATAATTTTTGATTTATTTAATCAACAAATATTACATCGTAACGGTTAAAATGATTTGCCAGATATTTTTAGACTCTTGCAACATGTTGCTACAAAGTAAAATAGTTTTGTTCACWTAACGGTTGTATGTATCACCTAAAACTAAGCAAGATWGGGTTATATAGTACATATAAATGATCAAGAYGATGAGAAAAGTTGAAATCGRACWACAATCACACCTACTTCCCATGTAACACAATTAATTCACAATAATCTAAAAATTCCATTTCATTCCATCACTTTCCTGYAAACAAATCAAGAGTAATTAATATAATTTACAAATTAAATTTTGCGCTAATAATTYCTTTAACGTATGCCACCTTATAACCAAAAATTGCCCTAATCSAAAAACAAAACTGTTCAAGCCCCTGGGTACCTAATGTGTAGACCCCAGTGTCTATAGTTGACTTTTGGCCGGAAATATCGGTCAATGTGTAAGATATACAATTGAAATTCAGAGAGAATCTTTTCTTGACAATAGTAATTATGGGTATCAAAAATGTGTTGAATCGGGTCTGAGACCCCTTATACCTAATATAAAGATTTTKGAGCTTCCAGGTTACTTTCTGCTGAACACATTGGCCAATATTATCTCAATGAAAATTACGGAACATGTTTCGCTCATATCACTATATATTTGCGTTTAAAATAGATCAAATTGTGCGAAAACTTCATCTAGTCCCCATATAACAAATATCATGATTTTCGAACAACCGGTTGACTTTACTTCATGTGGCCATACTATTAATACTTTTAGTATTTTCGTGAATATTTTGAAAACAACCGTTTCATTAGCCCTTAGATGAAATCTCATAGTTACTGTAATATACTAGTCGGTAGAACCTTATAAGCGATGCTGAGGAGGTTTTTCCCACGGTAGTTTGCGCAGATTCTGGTGTTTTCCTTTTTGTGGATTGGGCAGAGCACACTTAAATTCCAATCGTTGGGCATGCTTTCGTCCGACCATATTTTACAAAGAAGCTGATGCATGCTCCTTATCAGTTCTTCGCCGCCGTGTTTGAATAGCTCAGCCGGMAATCCATCGGMCCTCGCCGTGTTTTGTTCTTTAGACRGGTAATTGCTATTCSAACTTCTTCATGGTCGGGCAATGGAASRTSTGCTCCATCGTCATCGATTAGGGAATCGGGTTCGCCTTCTCCTGGCGGTATACCTTCACTGACATTCAGCAGGCTGGAGAAGTATTCCTTCCATAATTCTAGTATGTTTTTGGCATCGGTCGCTAGATCATCTTTGGGAGTTATACAAGAGTATGCTCCGGTCTTGAACCCTTCTGTTAGCTGCCGCATCTTTTCGTTGAATTTTCGAGCATTACTCCTGTCGACCAGCTTGTCAAGCTCTTCATAATCACGCATTTCAGCCTCTTTCGTTTTCTATCTTCAAATGTGTCTCACTTTCCTCTTCAACTCTCGGTATCCATCACATCCCGCACGTGTTGTAGTCGATCGTAACATTGCAAGGTAGGCAGTCTGTTTTCTTTCCGCTGCGACACGGCACTCCTCGTCGTACCAGCTGTTCTTTTGTACTTTCCGAAAACCAATGGTTTCGGTTGCGGCTATACGTAAGGAGTTTGAAATGCCGTCCCATAGTTCTCTTATACCGAGTTGTGGACGAGCGCTCTCAGAGAGCAGGAGTGCAAGCCGAGTAAAAAATCGTTCGGCTATTGTTGTGATCGCAACTTCTCGACGCCGAACTTTTCTTGTGTTTGTTGACGTGCGTTTTCTGCTGCAGAGAGGGGGGTGCGAAGATAGTGGTCCGAGTCGATATTAGGGCCTCGGAGCGCACGCACATCTAAAACACTGGAGACGTGTCTTAGTAGTAAATGCCACTAGAACCTACTTGCCTCAGTCCTTGTCCCGTCCACCGCATTTCTTGTACCGCGGTGATGTCAGCATTTATTTGCATGAGGACACCAACCAGCTGGGCAACGGCACCAACCCAATTAAGGGACCGGACATACCAGGTGCATGCCGTCAAATTATAATCTTTGTTTCGTTTGCTGTGGTCGTCATCAAAAGGGGGGTCTCTCAGCCGAGGCAGTCGGTATCCTTTCATTGGGGGTGTTTTTTACGTGGCGGGTCCCAAACCCAGTGCACAACCCTGATTAGGGAATATGCCGCCATCTCACTTTAGCTCGCCGTCGAACAGATGTTCTTAAGCTACCCAGAAGATACTTGATCTAAAACCGGAAGTCGCGAACTGCTTGAGCCATATGTAAAAGAATCGTTTCTGGCCACTCCCAAGTGAATGGCGATCAGAGAATTTTCTATACATGACTCCATCCATTATCAAGTTAGATATCACAAAAAAAATGTATAAGATTAAATAGTTGACAGTTAGAGTAATGTAGATTGTTGTCTAAAACTGGTGATATAATATATCTTCATTCATTCGAAATTCGAAATTGAAATTCATCTTAGTTAAATCTTTATAAATTTCGATTTCAGCCTTTTAAACAGCCGATTAAGGAATCAGTGAAGCTAGTACACACACTATTTGAGAGCTAAGCTTTCACAGGACAATAATACCGACGCATACTTAGAACTCTTCGAAGATTGCTTGACTTTTCCTTTGATTGCATGGTAATACATCCCTATAAACTAATACGATTTGTAGGAAAAAGAAATTTAGTTACCCGTACATCCATATTCAATTTAGTCAATACTGTACAACAAAAGCTTTTATCTTCAATAACATTCTTTTATGTATATACGATAAAAAAAATAAATGTATATACGATATATTATATTAATGTGTACATATTGCTTAACTTATTTTATTGCTTAAGTTATTTTGCGCTAAGCTCAACTAATAATTATTCTGGCACTTTACTTGGCAAACACTTAAACAACAATGGCTTTTGCTCGCATTCATCATCATCCGCTTCTCCCAAACCCGCTGCGTGTCTTCGTTTGCTGGCATTACATATCAATAAATAAATTTAGCAARTGTCTGGTAGCTGTCAGCTAACTGTCAAGAAGGTGTTTTAAATGCTAATTGACATCAAGAAATAAACGACATTCTTTTAAAAATGGACTTATTCACACACAAATGAATATTATATGCCACACAACTTGATTTTGTTACAACTAATCKCATGTCGGAATGTAAACCGTTTTGAATGTATACGCACCCTCTAGGAATAAACGGAGACGATATGTCAAAATATATGCAGTCGTTATATGTACATATAGTATAACACATTCGCTTACAGAAATTCGCTTTAGAAAGCCATATTATAATTATGAAGAAACTAATACATGTACGTATGTATATCCGTAAAGTGGACGCACTGTATTTCTCCAATAAAAAACCTTGAAATTTGTTTACCCTCCATTTGCAGTGAAAATTGGAACGTTCCAAATTTGAATTTACGTAAATAATTTGTTCGCTTAGGCATAGACACAATTCCATGGCGATATACCAAAATTATGCTGGTAGACATGAAAACAAAAAGATGAATATGAAAAAAGAATGCCACATAAAAAACAAGGTACATTATTATCAGATTAAAGTGAAGCCTGACGCAACAAAGTCGGTCGCAGCAAGTGTGCATTGTTTCCGAAATGACATTTTTGTCGCCCATATTGCCACCAACGTAGCKGGGAGTTGTGGCCGACCATAAATGTCAACACACGACAGACGCGCACACAGAATTTATTGGAATAAATAGAAGATTCACAACAGCCTGCACATCGCGCGCAGTCGTCGGGCACAGCGAAGAGAACCAGCCGGTGCAAAGGAATTAAGGAAGCCACGAGCAGTGATAACGCGGCGAATATTGTTTGATAGCATCAATTGTCGGCGYACAACAATGGCACCCTTGCGACGACTTATTAGTGCCGCGTCGAGCTTTGATAAAGACAATTTAATGTGCCAAAATTTATGCATGCAGAAGGGGAGAAGAAAGCATGAAATTCCTGCATAATTTTGGTTTGAGGCGCAAATTGCTCTTTAAAATTTAAAAGCATCTCTCATTGCCATGCGTTTAAATCATAACAAATTTAGTTGCTCTTACATTACTATTTAGATAGCSGCGAGCGCTTGTTCCAAAGATTAAAGTTGAATTATTCTCAACAATTTACAAATTATTAAATGAGTCTTCCTTGTTATGAACTGTTTTAAAGAAAAAAAACGCAGAAACTTAAAGCCTAATGAAAAATGTTTATTATCATTCGAAAGAACATTCTTTGGCATATATTTTTKGAAGACGGTCTCTTTCAAATGTTGGCCTTGGCTAYKTCTCAGAYACTTCATCCGTTGAATCCAGTGACTCGTTCGAGCATTTCCGCTGGTGATGTTTTTCTCCAAGGCCTGAACCACAGAAAAAAGTTTAACGGTGTAATATCAAGCGATCTTGATCAATCGATCGATTTTTGATCTGTCAAAAAAGGCAATTGAAAAAAGTACCTCTAGGTGGATCGCCCGTTAGTTACATATCTCGCAAACTTCTTAGCCTAAATCAACCAAACTTGATTATCTATGGAACAATAACAACACCTAACTAATGCTGCCGGCACTTCGCACCAATTTTTTAGGCCAGAACGCAGTTAAGTTAAAGAAAAAATAGTGCCAACGTTGGCTTCCTAGTGCTTATTTTCACTTTTGTATAGTTTTCACTCAAATCGCTCCTTCGAGTGTCATTTGTTACGTCGTTGTTGTTTTTGTAGCGATTATCTAATCCCCGCTAGGGTGGCAAGATTCCGGTGGATTGTCACCGAAGTCATATAACTGCAGGCCCAGGAAATGTGCTGTTTTAACGAGTAGGGAAAGGGGTGTTCAATAAATGAGATTCTTTGGTCTTGCAAAGAGCTTTTTAGAATCATGTGACAACTCAGTACACAGTTCACATATGTATATTTGTTACGTCAACGACAATTATGGATAATTAGGAATTCAACCTAGAGTATCGAGAACAAAGTTGCGTCAGGACCACTCTAGATTTTCGTGCAACTCGATAGCTTCGTTCTATGAGTAGTGGTTTAACTGAACTGTTTCACTGGTTACTGTTCAATTATCTCGGCGTAATCACTGCATTACCTCTTGATGTTTCCACGACTTAAAGCATTGTGTTTCTTAACAGGAAGCATGCAGACCTCGCTATGTAAGCGTTCGACAGGAGACATTGGAAGAAATTCTGTAAACGTGCGGAGTGCAGTATTTTGTCACGTCTGAAGTTTTTGGGTCTGCGAAAACCTTGCCCTCAACGTTGCTTTGTCCTTGTGTTACCGGCCAGCGACATAAGGATTTTTATTTGGTAAGGAACACAGGCTGCCAAGKGCCTAAAATCTTAGGGTAATTRTCTGTCGGAATTTCAACGSCATYAGCTGTGATATTAAAATATTTCGTCCATTGGGACTATGGTCGCTACGGGTTTAGTGGAGAACGYCAGGCTCCATGCAAAGAGAAAGCGAGAAAGGTCGGTGAGACAGCTGTTTTCTTTCAAACACTTTCCATCATTGCCGTTCAATCATATTTATATAAGGTGATGGAAATTACATATGGTCGTAGCAAGATTTTCGAAATATACATAGGAGTTAAACAGTAGTTGGGAGTGGACTTCAACCTTCGAAACCCCTGTTTAATCCCTCATAACTTAAAGTTTTGTCTTCGAARTAGTACGAATTATTACCGACTGGTCAGATAGTGTATAGTACAYCCCTTCTGTCCTGGATGGAGTATAGATTGTTCGATGTCTTCTAGTAGAGTTGTATGATAGACTATGTCAAAAACTTTTGATAAAGTTAATGCTACTAGGACCGTCTTCTCACAAGGGGGTTTTTGACTTATGCGACAAATCTTCTAGGTATTTATGATGCTAAGAGCTGTAGTGGTGCTGTGTACATTCCATGTAGATCGTATGATCGACTCAGGTGGTGAGTGAAAGTCGGGAGTAACAAGGATTCAAGTGCCTACACTACTGGGGAAAAAAAAGATTTATTGGGCGTTAAGATTGCTCCAGGTTGATGGATTTCCCATTTTTCAATAGAGGATTGCTGTATAAAATCTTTACTTACCTCACCACAAGCCAATAAATGAATGTAACTATTTAAATAGTATTAAGTCATCATAAATATTTATTTTTTATTTGCGAATGAAAGATTAATAATTTTATATGAGTGCATATGTGCTTTTAGTTTGAAAAATAATTGATCTTTACACACATAATTTAGGTGGTTTACTTAAACATTGGAGCTTTCAAAGTGTGCTATTCCGTATTTAACAGTGTATGCCCGCTTGTCTGCCTTTCTAAACGCTTAAACATTGCGTGATGTGCAAAAGTCTGTAACCACATCCTTATCCTCCACCTGATCGATTAGCACCAATTCGTACACAACAATAGTGCCAGCCATCTGATGAGTACAAGGGAATATATGTATGTATATATACTCGATTTCAAACATCACTATATACATACATATATATTATTCATATGCTATATTTACCAATCCAATGAAACAGCACAAGAGGGAGCTTGAATAATCTAAATTGGGATTTAAGTGATTGCATTTGGCAAAGAAATATCTCAAAAATCATGAAATAAATATAATAAGGACTAAATAAGGGCACAATTATTTTCACAACTGCAGGTTTTCTTTAACTAAGTATGTAAGAATCTCATAACTAAGTAATACATAAATTTTTCTTGGTACTAATATGATCCTGACCTCCGGCTTTTTGTCTTGACACACAACGAAATGAAGAATTCAGGGACAAGTACAGAGACGCGTAGATCCTTGTGGCAATTACAACAGTGGCCATATAAAGTAGCGCAAATTTGGTGTGGGATTCGTGGTGGGAGAGAGACTCCGTCGCCGAGTACTGACATTCACCCCAGTGGATGAACCCCTAGCCACAATCCTTATCAAGGCGAAGTTCTTCAACATATCGCTGATTTGCGCCCACGCCCCAACAGAAAAAAAGGACGATGTGACTAAAGATGTCTTCTATTAGCGCTTGGAGCACAACTATGAAAGACCCCCCTGCCACGATGTCAAAATAATGTTTGGCGACTTTAAAAGAAAGGTGGGCAAAACAGGTAYATTTGGCACAACGGTCTGTAAATTCAGAATCAACGATAAAGCATTTCCAAATTGATTAGGGCGGATCGACAACGCCGCACAAGAAAAYTTATCAAGCCACTTGGCTGTCTACGTCCGTCTCGACCCGTTTCTGAAGCGGACGATTGCTGTTAATGAAAAGTGTATTAGCAAGGCAAGCAAAAAGGTATTGGTCGGATCGCGGTGGGCCATGAYTAGTGGTCAGGAAGGATTCGCTAGGCTTTTGGCAGGATTTACAGAAATAATTTACTATGAGCTACTCTGCTGCTTCCAAATTCTTAAATAGGATCCTTACTGCCAAAAATTAGGGCGTTTCAAGTAAGCTGCCGCCCAGAAGAGGCCAGCTTTGTTCACTAGGATGAAAATTTCCTGCCATCAAGACAACGCCAGGCCACAGACGCTCTAGGAGCTTGTTTGGAAGGCGAATTATTTTACCAATAAAAAATTTGGTTGTAGAAAAAGTTCTGAACAAGGACTGTTATGTTTCAATAGAGATAAGAGATTCATAAAAGATAAAGGTTTCTATGTGAGTGGCTACCTTAACTAACTCCCTTAAAAATGGCAGAGAGTTCACGGTATATTTAACATAATTCTGATCATTTTAACTATATTAAATAAAACACTCAATTTAAWGCATTAATAATGGATTTCTTTTTACTAGACTTATTATTTCACACACCCACCGAGAGCATTCAATTCATGGTTCTTTCTTTTCACTTTTCTAAATAACTAGACCGTAAATATGTACTCTTAAACCATCTCAATTTTCGTATGTCCCGCTCAAGCTATTTCACCGCATGGATAAGCATAGAAGTGCAAAATATAATTTATATGTTTGTATTGCTGTGAATGGTTCATTGATTGTTTTAAAATGATGACTCACTTACCGCAAATATGAGGCGACGCGTCAGATAGAAGAAACTCTTGCCACTAAAAGCAAACAAGTCGTGTATGATGATTTCATTTAAACGTTTGAGCTAAAAAATAAGAGCAATAGTTTTCCAAAGCTGCACAATGAATGTTGAAATAGATTCGTAATGTTTCGCAGAAATAAATACTCTAAGCAGAAATTTCTTGGCAAGAGAACGCATACATGGACAAGCGAGTTTGTACGAATACGAATAAACATAGATTTTACTCACTTCAAGGCACCAAAACTTCGTTGGAATCTCATACATAGTCGACATTATTTGCTTTGCCTCGTCATGCACCGCACCGGCTGACAGCATCATTGTTAAGATACGCACCAACACGAAAAGCAATGAGAACCAAAAATAAAACTCTTTCATAAAGTTGTCTCGGTTGCTGTATGGTAGTGGTAAGAAAGATAAAGCAGTAACAAAGTTTGTGTCAGACAGTTGCAGGAGATTTTTATACWTATTATGATATAAAAGCAAATCGATCAATCAGCTGTTCAAGAAAATATATTCAATAAAGGACGAAAAAAATATTGTCGAAAATATTTTAACATTTTATGGCGATTCTCATTGCAATCGCTTTTCTTACTCAACAAAAACTCTTTAGAACTAAATAAGATTTTATGATTTTGCTGCAATTAATAGACAGAGTAAAATAGTATTAACATAATGTATTATATTTTTATTACTTAAGACTACTTTATTATTTCAATACTGTTACCCTAAAAATACTTGGCCGCGATAGATTTAATTATGGCCATGAAAATTTCTCAATTTTTCAAACTAAAGTATTTTCATGAACAAATTCCGCCTAATGCTATATGGTATGGATATTGATCTGGGCTTATAAAGTTTGAGACGAAGTTTGTAACACCCAGAWGAAACCGTTGTAGAACGTACAAAACTTTTTCATGTCCTCATGGTTATCCATCTTATACTAATATGGGCAAAAAATAGTAAGACTTTTTAATTTAAATCTCGCGCGAAAACCAATAAGTCGAAATTTTTTTTTCTAAATTTTCTAAGGGAAAAGTGAAAACCATTTTGAAAGCTGATTTGAGTATAAGAAAAGTGAAAGCTCGATTGGTTCCAAAATCACAAAATCACATTTTCTGAAATAGCATTACGTTAATACTGGCGATGAATCTGTGATCTATGCATACGACCCGTAGCAAAAATGAGACGAAGCCAAAAAATCTTTGCACGTCAAAGCAGATCAAAAATTGAAAGTTTTCTTTAGTTATTRAGGTGTGGTACACTCCGAATTCCTTCAGACCAGCCGAACTGACAACAAGGGATACTATTTTAGTGTTATGCGTCATTTCCGCATAGCTATTCGTAAAAAGAGGCGGAGAGAATTATGAGCCAACAACTCTTGGTTTTTGCACCAGGATATTGAACCGTCGCATACTGTATTGATTCTTGGTAAATTTTTCACTAATAACATGCCGTAATCACCGTATTCGCTTGATTTAACTCCTTGTGACTTCTGGCTATTCAGCAAGCTCAAACGAACGCTCTGGGTAAACTGTTTTAAATCAACATTGAGCGTGAATCGCTTTGAAGGCTATTCCGGAAATTGACTTTAACAACTGTTTCGTGGATTGGAAAAAACATTGACAGAACTATAATGGCGCAAGGGAAGATTACTTTAAGTGGACGACATAGAATTTGAAAAATTAATTAAAAATGTTAAAATTATGAACAAAGTTCTAGTATTTTTTGCTTATAATATAATAATAACAATAATACTATTTTTAAAAACAAAATMATGCTTAAAGTCTTTGTACACTGATTAATGATGTCTCATAGATTTCCAGTGACTGACTATTACTTGAATWTTGGTCTTTCCACTACTGTTTCACACAATTTGAAGAGTGTTTGAGGTKTACAGCGAACTGAAAGCTTTGTAGGGCTTATACTGTTTGGAGTAATTGCCAATTAAAAAATTTTATTTCTACGTGTCAGACCAATATCTAGTACATTAACGAGCTCAGAAAAAAAATAAGTAAAAAAAACTAATTCATTATTATTTATCTCTAACAGATTTTGTCAACGTTATGAAGATACCAGCTTTTTAAAATTAAATAATCTACGTAATTCTTAACAATGATTTATTCTATTTGTAGCTTTCAAAGGCAAAGTAAATCAAACAGTTACTATATATGTTACGGAATAGAACTTACTTGAAGCTGTGAAATATTTGCACGCATATAAAGTAGAGATTATTGCAACAAGACACAAGTATCAAGGTTGACAGTCCATTGTCGAAAAGGCGCAATAAATCTAATAGGCTCATGAAATCGTTACGCACTTCGTGCCAGAAGTCATCAGGCATTTGCTGATGATTACAAAAATTATTTTATGTTTTATATTATTAAAAACAACGAATATGCGTAAAGCAGTCTAAAGCTGTACAGATATTTACAAGTTATTATAAAAGCATATATTGCAAATGTCAGACAGATACATATGGGTTCAAAACCAGAAAYTTAAGTTATGAAGATAACGATTTTATTTACCTTTTTTGCATGTCGCTTAATTCGCCAATGCATYTGTCGGAAACGTATTGCAAAACAGCGAAAGATCATGCTTAAAAATATATCGACATAGTTCCAAGCAAAAGTCGTCGATATGGTAATCCACTGAAAAGAAATATAGTTAAATTATATCAAACAACCTTCTTCTGTTCAGCAATTCTCTCCGCGATATGTCTGAGTTAAGCGCTCTCGCAAAATCATTTCATGTCAAACAACGACACAGATACTCTGTTCAATTTTTGCTAAGATTAAGTAATAATTATATTTCTACATTTCTTTSAGACTTCTTTATTAATTCGGGTAAAACGTACCTATCATACTCTCAATAAACCATTTGATTCCACCTATTTCAACTAAGCAGGCTGCTACTACAAGAGATTCGCAAATATTTACGGCTTTTWAACTTAAAGCCAAAACTTGTCCGGTATAATTAGAATCTGAGCAGGATATATTAACTTCATGCGATGTTTTTAACATCCAAAATGAAACGTCGGAGATCCTATAAACGATCTAAGCCGATTCTGTGTATACGCGAATAAGTCCCTAAATTTTTGAGATATCGATATGAAATTTTAAACATGTGCTTTCTTCATTAAGCAGCTTTGCATTTGTCGGAACCGCCTATATCGGAYAACTATAGCACACAGCTGCCATATAAATTGACCGATCAAACTCAAGTCCTTGTTTTAAAAACTTTCTTATTCGACGAATTATCATCACGAAATTTAGCACAGACTATTATTCAAGGCTTTATTACAAGAAAGAAGAAATTGTTCAAATCGGACAACTATAGAATAYAGTTGCCATACAAACTAGCCGAAACAATTCAAGCSCTTGTTTGGAAAACTTTTTWATTASACGAGTTATCTTCACGAAATTTGGCATGAATTATGGTCCAAGGCATCGCTGCAATATCCGACTATATKATTYAGATCRGASCACTAAAGCATACAGCTGCAATACAAACTGACCGATCAAAGTTAAGATAAGCATCTATTTATGCCCTCTTTATCTGTGCAGTTGAAGTGCACTTTTTGTTGTTTTTCTTAACAAGCATATCGTTTACATGAGTGGAAATCAATTACCTGCACCAATGGAATCAGCCAAGCGTGGTAGTTGAATATCGAAAAAATCTGCAAACGTTCGCGCGTGTAATAATTTTTCCAAAAATCCACCGTTAAATTGCACTTCTTAATTTGAAAATCATTATTGAAAATTGCAGTTCCAATATACACAGAGTGCTCCACTACGAAAAGCGAAATTCTTGCAATTGCAACAAAATGGATATTGGCAACATTGCTTACTTGCCGCACCGAAAAGTAAAATAGCACCAAACCAACGAACATTATWGGTGAAGTTTCGGGATTCTCCATTAGCATAGGATTTCTGTAGAAACACAGAAAGTTCGCAGCGATACATGTGCTTTATCAGGTCGGGCCATTTTCGTGCAAGCTGCAAAAAACTGCTGACGCTCACTGCCGATATGATGCTGAAACTGAAAGGACCTGCCAGAAATAAGGTGAAAGTACATACATATCAACATAAATGTCCACGAGCGAATAAGTACTCATGTAGAMACAAGCACAGCAGCACAGCAGACTCGGGGCGTGCTGCTGCTACAAATTTTCATTAATATTTTACCCACTGTGTACAGCTTCAGGCCGAACTCCATCACCACTTTTGTCGAGAGCACCACATCGATGAGTGAAAAAGCGATCATGATGAGGGAAAGGCATGATATGAGTGTCCACCAGCTGAAGTACACACGTTCCGCATACGATTTGCGGCACGCACCGCTCACTGGCAACGTGGCCAACACTTGTGCGATCATCATAACTATGTAAACATACAGGAGAATCGAAATGTAGCAAGTCTTTAAAAAAAAAATTCAAATATTGATAATATGCAATMTGTGGATGCAACATGGTGCACGCTGCACACGTCAGCTGCGAAGCTGCATGTACTTACATGGTCTCAAGGCATTATGCATGGTGTTGGTGTTCTGCGCTGGTAGCTCGCTGCTCGCCGCCACTCGATTGCCCTTTRCCATTTTCGCTGCTGCAAATATTCTTTCGACGCCCGCAGCTGCAAAGCACCGCTTGCAATAACTCAAAATATGCGAATGCAATGCCATAGCTCAACCGCTAGAATTTWTGCATATTCCACTTCACCGCTGCACTTTTATTTTTGTTTCTTTGCCACGTTAGCAGCAACATTTGTCGACATTAGCGTGCRAAGCGTATTCATGTTGGAAAATTGCAAACTAACGATTCTCCCTGATATCAATCAGCATAGCTGCCCAGCAAGTTAAATAGCAGTAACGAGAAAATAAAAGTTCAATGCCGAATATGGCAAATACCAATGAGGGAAGGACCTTTCAGATTTCTTCGGCGATAGCATTTTTGCCTTTGCTCTGATTGAATATATGAATGAATGGTGTGCAAACAGTTGAGTTGCACAAAGTCTCGCAAAATKTGTGTTATAATAAGAGAAAAAGCTTTTAATTGGATTTCAAAAATTCAATTGCATGAAAAATTTCATCAAAAGTATAAAAAGCACAATTTTTTAACACTTAAACGAGTAGTCGTATACAATCGCGCACAATAAAGCAGTGTTTTATATGCAAATTAATAAACTTCTGAGCCAAGCATTCTGCCTTATGTATATTCCAATTACCATATGCTCTAATTCTAAAATTCCTAAACAACAAGTACGGAAGGGCTAAGTTCGGGTGTCACCGAACATTTTATACTCTCGCATGATAAAGTGATAATCGAGATTTCAGGCGTAGTTGTGTACCGATTTCACCCGTATTTGGTACATATCATCTGGGTGTTARGAAAATATTATATACCGAATTTCATTGAAATCGGTRKAGTACTTCCTGAGATATGGTTTTTGGTCCATAAGTGGGCGACGCCAGGCCCATTTTCAATTTAAAAAAATAGCCTGGATGCAGCTTCCTTCTGACATTTCTTCCGTAAAGCTTAGTGGTTCTGACGTTTTTTGTTAGTCGGTTAACGCACTTTTAGTGATTTTCAACATAACCTTTGTATGGGAGGTGGGCGTGGTTATTATCCCATTTCTTCCATTTTTGAACTGTATATGGAAATGCCTGAAAGAAACGACTCTATACAGTTTGGTTGACATACCTATACTAGTTTTCGAGATATGTACAAAAAACTTAGTAGGGGGCGGGGCCACGCCCACTTTTCCAAAAAAAATACGTCCAAATATGCCCCTCCCTAATGCAATCCTTTGTGCCAAATTTCATTTTAATATCTTTATTTATGGCTTAGTTAAGACACTTTATAAGTTTTCGGTTTCCGCCATTTTGTGGGTGTGGCAGGGGGCGGAATTTGCCCATCTTCGAAATTAACCTTCTTATGGAGCCAGGAAATACGTATACCAAGTTTCATCATGATATCTCAATTTTTACTCAAGTTACAGCTTGAACGGCGGACGGACAGACGGACCGACAGACATCCGGATTTCAACTCTACTCGTCACCCTGATCACTTTGGTATATATAACCCTATATCTGACTCTTTTAGTTTTAGGACTTACAAACAACCGTTATGTGAACWAAACTATAATACTCTCYTTAGCAACTTTGTTGCGAGAGTATAAAAATTATCTGATAGGCACCCCCTTATTTTTTATATGGAAACTACTAAAAGTGCTACCTTAAGAACAACATCAGAAACGCCGCATTTTGTTACAAATGATTGGTAGTCTAGTATGTGGATATGTTCATATTTGAAAAGAAGACGAGCTTTCATTAATTAAATKTAAATTATTRATTGTCTGCATTAATKTTGTCGCCTTCAAAATAGTCMMTATTCGATATTATGCACTTATGACAACGTGTCTTCCAATCGTCGAACCATCTTTTAGACTTTTTGAGACAGCCTTTCCTTTATCTAGTAAAACCAAGAAATAATAAATTTTCAAATAGGAAAAAGTCACACAAAGAATAGCAAGGAACAGCAAAGCAGCAGACGCCGAAGGATTACCGAACGAGCTATTCATATGCGGTGGCGCATCCCAATCCACAAAAAGGGGAACCCCACAATCTGCGCCAATTACCATGTGATAATAGTGTGTGAATTGACCAAAACCCACCGTCAAAAAGCTGATTAGACCTTATCAGTGTGGTTTCAGGTCTGCAGAATCTACTACCTACCAAATATTTACCATGCGCCAAATCTTAAAAAACGCCCGTGAAAAGAGACCGACACACACCACCTCTTCGTCGATTTCAAAGCTGCTTTCGACAGCACGAAGAGGAACTGCCTATATGCCGCTACGTCGAAATTTGGTATCCCCGCGAAGCTAATACGGCTGTGTAAGCTAACGTTGAACAACACCAAAACCTCCGTCAGGATCGGGAAGAACCTCTCCGAGCCGTTCGATATCAAATGAGGTTTCAGTTAAGAACACTTCCTATTGTGTGACTTCTTCAATCTATTACTAGAGAAAATAATTCAAACTGCAGTGATGAATTGAGAAGAAGAATCTTCTGTAAGAGTGTACAGCTGCTGGCGAACGCCGAGTATGTTGATGTCATTGTCCTCAACAACCGCGTTGTTAGGGATTCATTCTGCAGACTGAGTAAGAAAGCGAGGCAAATAGGTGTGGTAATAAATAATATAATTGCTTCGCAATAACCGCAATAGCATCCGATTTATAAGGTGACTATGAAACTCAAATTGTAGACACAAGACCACAATAATGTCGGCCACACTTAAATTCTTAGTACCTAGAATTAAAATGCCTTGAATGTATTTCAAATTTCAACTGCAAAAATTGCAAAACCAATAATGTCTCAGTTCGAATGTCAGCAATTAACCATGAATGTGGTAAACAACAAAAGCCTAAACAAAATTGCTACCAAATATTCGGCTTTCAGCCTAGTCGACAGTCATTCATTCATAAAACATTTTTGTTATTGCAAGAAGCCAATTTCTGCCGCAGACACGGAGCATAGCTCGAAGTCATACAATGCTCATGCCAGAATGTAACAACCAAATTTGTGCAACACGTCGAATGCGCAACACGAAGCCATACATATGGAGACCSATTGCATGTCTGCCCAACTTTTCAAAGTACGTGTTCAAAGTTATGCAGCTATGAATGAGGTGGACAAGATCAAGTGGGGTTGTTTTAATTGATTTTTATACTTAAATTTTAATTAAAGTAGCAATCGTCATGACAACAAATAATATATACATTCTCGCATTCTGAGCAGAAAATAACTTCAAAGTTATAATAGGGGCCATACAAAATACTGCAGCAGGTGGMGAATCCATATTGTTTGCACAAACAGAAATTTTTTGAAGTCAAGTAGAAATATCGGTCCACTTTAAATCCTTAGCTTCAAACTTAACTTAAAATTAGATGAAGTAAAAATGGATAGAGTTCCGCATTAACATTGCACTTTATATTACTTGGTACTTACGTACCTTGAATGTTTCAAATTTGATCATTTTCAAATACATTTTCTTACAATAGGTTAACCGAAAAGTCCCCGGTCTACGATGGTAAAACACATTTTCTATTTTATATTTCCATTTAATATCTATTTTTTCCACACAAATTTTCTTTGTCCTTTACTTCAAAACGAACTACGAACGAACATTCTTTTGAGGTTTGAGAAATGGATATAGTCGCTGGGGATCTGGAGAATATGATGGGTGCAGCAGCAGTTCGAAGTACAATTCATCGTTGTTTGCCATCATTTTCTCTGACTTGTGACACGGTGCACTGTCTTGAAGAAACAGCACTCTCTTTTTCTTCAAATATAAGTATGTTTATATATCAATACCACCAATTCATCAAAACCAATTTTCGCAAAACACTCATTATAGTGTTATTGGCAGTGAAATTGAAAATAACCGAAACACTTTCCGCCCATTGCACTATCTCTTTAAGGTTCCGACGAAAAGGAGAGGTTTAGTAGGCGAGAATGTTACTATATCCATCTATACCGACGGGTCTAAGCTGGACTGTGGTGTAAAGACAGGGGTTTACTCCGATATCTCTCTTGTTTGTTCTTGATATCTATCTCTCTTTCTCTCTCTCTCTATTCGTCTACCGCACTCAGGTACCATCTTCCAAGCGGAAGATGAAGGAATAACTACGGAAGGATACAGAAAGCTAACTAATATGGTACATAGATAGCCCAGTGGCTTTGGCTTCGGCAGTTTCTATGACTTGTTTTCTGCACGATCATATATAAGTATGATATGATCTTAAGGCATCAACGCATCAAGGCTTTTAACGTTAACGTCAGTTTTAMATTTGTGTAGTTAAGTTTTGCCACCCTTGCTCCATTCTTAAGAACGCTTGCTTGATCCTACCTCCAAATCCATCTAAATATAGTATATCACATTTTTATAATCTTGCAACCTGTTACCACAGAGTACAACAGTTTTGCTCACTTAACGGTTTAACATATCACTTTATACTAAGCGCAATAGATATGGGTTATATAACAGGTGGCGAAAAAATAACCTTCCGATGTTTTTTGGAAYATAAAATCTTTTTTAAAAAATGAAAACATGTGGTTTTTTTATTTTTTCTTTTAAATTTTTTTACATCAAGTCGAAAATATGATATCATTGATTGATCCATTAAATTGCCACCGCCACTTGTCATTTGAGCCCTTTTTATGGCATTTTTCATCACTTTGGCCATYACTTTGCAAGACAACAAAACAGCATAACTAAGCGCTAAATTATGATACAGAACTGTAATTTAGCACAAGAGATCACCATAGCCAGGGGCACTTGTGGACACCTGTATGCTAAAAATTTTGAGGCGTGGCCCCACGCTCTGTTTGGTTAAATGTACATAACTCTTAAACTACGTAAGCTACAWTTTCCAAACAATATTATCTTTGTGCATCAAAAATAGAGTGAATTTGGTGAATACTTCCCCAAAAGAGGAGAATTTTGAACTTCCAAGTGACTTTATGGTGGATATATCAGCCAATATTTGAGTTCTCGCAATGACAATGAGAGATTGTGTTTTACTCATAACAATGCACCTTTGTGMMTAAAATACATAAATTGGTRCGAAAACTTGACCTAGACCCTATATGACTAGCATCAAGGTTTTCGAACTTTCGGATGACTTTACTCAATATGATTGGGTTTTTCGTAGTATGTGGCATGTTTAGTATGTGGTATTGGCAAAAACAGATAACATCGAGTCGATACTATTCCAACTTCTATAATACATAAATATATATTTTTAGTTTGGAATTCGGTATCAGRGCTTTATATAATAATAGTCATTATGCAGACTTCTTTTGACGTTAAGAAGTATTCTACAATAGACATTTTTATAAAAACTTCAATTAAATTTCTTTATTTGTTCCACTTTATTTCTCGCTTTTTTTTACAGACGCTCTCGTTATATTATATATAATCAATACGCAGTTCATTTAATTTCGCTCATTTTCAGCTTCGTACTCAATCGGTCTGCAATARCTCGTAACTTGCTGAATGGACCCTTTGTTGATGACATCAGTAACCATCACCTCATAGGTAAAGATTGTGCCGGCCATCTGTAGCCAAGAAAATATGGAAAATGTAAAAGAAAGTATATTATAACACAGTTTTATCATATTTGTCGTATATTTCAGTCGGTRAAAGTACAAAGGTTGCGCATACAAAACAAAGATAAAGACAAGAATTATAATATTAGGTATATATAGTATATTGACTTACCGCCAAAATTAGTTGTCGCGTAATGAAGAAGAAACCGCAGCCAGACCAAGCTGTTAAGTCGAAAGCCAACTGCTCGCTGAAYCGTTGGGCCTGAAAAAGATTAGCCATTGGTGAATAAATGCCAAACCAACAGAGGGCCAAACTAATGCACACAAACAATAATTTACACAAACAAACATAATTTATATACAAATATACATATGTACAGTATATGGATGKGAAAAACACTATCCAAGTAGAATTATTGAGTGACTTTACCAATAACAAAATAGCGCAAATGGCATGGAAGCATGGTGTAAAGAAAGTAAAAAGTAACATTGGCAAAAACATTGACATTCATTATGATTTTAAACGACGCGTGGTGTTAACCGCGTATTCTCACCTCCACACACCACGACGTGCTTGGTACGCTGCGCAGAGTACACAATATCCGCTTGCTGTAGTCATTAACAGAGGAGGCCATGAAAAGTGTAAGGATGGTGCGAAAGATGGCGAAAAACAAGGAATACCAGAAAGCGGTAACAGCAACCAGGTCAACGCCGATATTTCTGTGAAAGAAAAATTAGAAAAATTAAGAAAAAAAAAGTAATGACTTAATTTTTTTATAGATAATGATGGAAAGGTACGCACTGGAAACTATTGAACAGCTGAAAGCAGATAAAGTACATATTATTACTGCATGCCAATAGTATCAGTGGAGCTATTTTATCGTTAAGTAAACGCATGAGATGTATCAACTCAAGGAAATGTTCACGTACTTCGGTCCAGAAAAGCATTGGTAAGACCTACAATGCATAAATTAAAAAATACTATTAATTATTATAAATAAAGGCATTGAGAAATGAAGTGTTATTAATTATTATTACTAAAGGAGAATGTTAATTTTGATGAATAAGCAAAAACAAAAACCAGTAAAATCGCAAATTTCGGCTGTACCGAAGCTATAATACATGTCACAGGTGCATCTTTATCCTCATCAATCGACTTTATTTGTTCGAGCAATGTGAATGTTATATGCTATAGTCTTCAGATCTGAACAATTTGTTCGAACAATGTAGCAATGCCTTAGATAAGAATCTATCCCACGATGTTTTATCAAATAAACAAGTTTTCCGTACAAGGTCTTCAGACTTCAGTAGGAGGAAGCATCGACGGCCGGAATGCGGGACTTTAATCCGCTAAACCTAACCTACTCCCATCTCATATCTCTCCCACTGGACAATTTCTTACTACATGGGAAAGAAGAGGACTTAAGTCTCCTTTATTGTACGGTCGGACTGACGCCTTAACTGTTGTAAATTCTCAATATTATCATAATTTTACAGAGGACTCGTACAGAAGTGCAACCAAATTTTCCACCGTGAGATTACCTCCAAGTATGGTTTACAGTTTTTCAATAATAATTGAAAATTAACGGCAATAAAATACACGGTTAATATGGACTAAAATTATGACTAAGTATAAAGCACCCATGGCGATGCTTTTGATTTTCTCCTCTCATTTTGCTGCGCTAGACGTCTCTGATAAGTTGTAGATTCCCGATTTATGAGCGGAACTTTTCTCAGTTTGTCTAATAAGTACCAACAAGTATGGTTTTTTAAGGAACCAAGCMATTATTATTATCCAAGCTAAGTAAATCATATTCGTTTTCGCTAAGTATTTACCTTGTTATGCACAGATTCGATCCGTAGATACAGTTGATGAAAACGTGACGCCAAGCCCACGCTTACACAAATRATGAAGGCATCAGTAAATGACCTGGGGTAAGCCAAGGTTAAATTAATCCACTATGAATGATAACAGTTCGATTATACCATTAGAAACTTGGTAAATATTATAAACACTTTAGATAAATTAGACAACAGATTATAATTTTAGTTAAAACTGCAATTGAACTCACTTCCACCACAGGCAAATACCAAAAGTTAAATGGTAAAACTTTGCTTAAGTGTGGCCTTTCCCGTCTGTAGAGGCTTTCCCAGAAGGTGATGTTGTATTTGCATTGTGTGCGTTCTAAATTGCTTTTATGAAATGAATTAAATACAAGAAAACTGTGCTCCACTGAAATAAATGCCAAAACACACATAAAATTCACCACTGAATAAAATTTATTTTTTTAACGGAATTTTTTTCTCGCCATCACTGTACCTACCCATGGCACTGAACATAACCAGACAGGTTAATGCGTAAATGCGTGCCTTCATATTATATGTCGCATATATTCGATAGGGCGGTCGCAGGAATATCTCCTCGGTGCGGCGCCAGGCTCGCATGATAAATGGCCACTTTATGGCCAAACGCCAAAAGTACACATGCTCCAGCATGCACACGACAAACAAAGATATTGTACCTGTCGTCATAAAAGATAACCGTATTACAACAGAATTATGAGAAGTACATATGTATGTAACAGGTTGGTCCAATAAATATTTAGCCCGCAAAAGGAAAACGGGATTTTGAAAAATTGCCAATTAATTTCTCATTTTTGCCGATTACAAGCGACCCTGCGATTTTCCCCCTCCTTCAACTCATGTGAAAAATAAATTTTCTTGCTTTCTGAAATACGCGATAAAATTTTCACCCGACCCAATTTTTTTACCGAAAAGTAACCTCTTCACGTTTGGAAACAAGGAGGCAAATTTTGATAAAAATACTTTATAGCCTTGTTCGACCAATTTGACATTAGTCAGAGCCATTGTCATATACCTAGTTCTCACAATCAATTAGGCTGATTGTGGCATAGTAGAGCCCTAAGACTTGACAAGCTGACCGATAGTGGTATTGCTCGAAAATTCTACGAAAAAATGCGGTGACTTACAGAAGATTTCAACACCGGAGCGTAGTCCTGCAGAACACCCAGAGATGATCTCTTGACCGATTCACAGAGCATACCGAACTTATGGAGGGAAAACTTCTCCAGCCTGCTGAATGGCAGTAAAACCATAAAACCAGGAGATGGTGAACCCGATTCCCCAATCGATGACGATGGAATAGATGTTCCATTACCCCATTATGATGAAGTTCGAATAGCAATCACCCGCCTTAAGAACAACAAAGCTCGGGGGCCGATAGATTGCTGGCCGAGCTATTCAAASRCGGCGGCGAAGAACYGATAAGGAGCMTGTATTTATAAAATATGGTCGGATGAAAGCATGCCSGACGATTGGAATTTAAGTGTGCTTTGTCCAATGCACAAAAAGGGAGGTAACTACTGTGGGATAAGCCCCTCCAACATCGCATATAAGGTTCTATCGAGCGTAGTGTGTGAAGTGACTCAAGCTCACCGTCAACAACCTGATTAGACCTTATCAGTGGGGCACAGATCTGCAGAATCTACTATCTACCAAATTTGAGTCAAGCGCCAAACCTTTGAAAAGAAACGTGAAGGAAGACCGACACTGTCCACAAAACTAATACTGCTATGTAAACTGACGTTGAGCAATACCAAMAGCTCCATCAAGATTGGGAAGGACCTGAAGAAAATAATACGACAGTACAGTTTCAGACTGGATAAGGAAGCAAGGCAAATCCATCTGGTAGTGAACTCGCGACTTCACTCGAACGTCACTATTGA